AACGTCGTCGACTAGTGTAGTACCTACTACTACCTACCGTACCGAACGAACAAACAAACGAAAGTAACGTAGTAGTAGTAGAGTACTACTACTCTTTCTCTCTCTCTCTCTCTCTCTCTCTCTCTCTCTCTCTCTGTATGTGTGCGTGTGCACATGCATGGGTGTACACAAGCGGGAGGGGGTTCAAAGTTCGTGAGAGTTTGATAGGATAGACACCTACAGGGGATACACTACTGTAAAGCTAATGCAAATCACTAATGGGAGGAAATGATTTACCCAGGGGCAACATTAGACACCACCTTTAGGAATGGGAAATTTTCCTTAAGGTGGCACACTTAATACTCCAATATGTCAAAAACCAATAAGTGGGTAATGCCCAACCCAAACACCTTCATCCTTGGATAATTCTACATGCTAACCACTCCCTAAAGTTATTACCATTAGAGCGTGAGATTGCATTTATTTAAGTCTAAAAATAGTAGCAGGAACGTGTGTACCTCAAGATATCCCTGTACCAATAATTTTGTAGACATGCACAAACACAAACAAACATGCTAACCACTCCCTAAAGTTATTACCATTAGAGCGTGAGATTGCATTTATTTAAGTCCAAAAATAGTAGCAGGAACTTGTGTACCTCAAGATATCCCTGTACCAATAATTTTGTAGACATGCACAAACACAAACAATTGTGCACACAACAAAACAAACGGGGGCACACACACAAAAACACAAGTGTGCACACAACAAAACAAACCGGGGCACGCACACAGAAACACGCATGTGGGCACACAACTAAACAAACATGGGCACGCACACAAAAAGTTGCCCAAAATTATAGAACCATGAAATTCTAAAAGTCTATTCTTTCTAGTGGTAAGAATAGCGTACAGAACAAGCATTTCTTGGAGGTCATCATACAAAGTATCTAGGAGGTCAAGAGCCTCCTCGATAGCCTAATTTACCTAATATTTCACAATGACCATCACCTTGAATTACTGCTCCAAGGTAAGGAGATAGCAGTTAATTTCAAACTTGATGCAGCTCAAGTTTGAATTTTGAAACTGAGATTCCCCCTCCCAAAATCGCCTCCTAGAATCTAGGAGGAAGTTTAAAATAAATTGGGAGTTAGTACTTACATCCCTCTCAGAAATTAAGAATCATGAAAATTAGAGTAACTAACATTTGTTGCAGGGCCTTTATTGTAAAAAATTTGGAAGCAGGACCATGTTACTTCACCATTAGAATAGTATAAATTAGAAAATACACGCATATGACGGAATCTGGAAGGATAGTCGTCTATTGAAACAACTGACACTGCTTGCATATATTGTGTATCCCATCAGAAAATAACGTGAGGATGTTTATGATCATCTTTTGTAAAAGGAAAGCAAGTCCCCTACGAAGTTTCAACCAAAAATTAAAAAGACAAAGCAAACTGTGACTTTTCATTCTACAACAAATACAGCACACCAAGAAAAAGGAAAAAAAAGCAATCTATCATCCCAAACAAATAAAAAAACTGAAATTTGGACAATAAGAAGCAAATAAGAGTAACTAACCTGCATACGCTCCACCAGCTCACGATCAAATGGTATGAAATCCCGAGACGATTTAGCTGACAACTTAGAGCACTTGGTCTTCAGCCAACTCGGCCTGTAACTACTCAGCAAACCATGCAACACACACAAAAATCTGTCAAAAAGGCTGTCCCCAGAGAGGCCGAAGGATGAGGCACCCAAAGGAGCTTCTAATGAAGAATCTGGCTCCCTCTTGGACTGAGGATATTTTGGGAGAGGTGCAAAAGGCAAGTCAGAATCCTCGTGCACAACACGGGATCCGAGAAGACGCAGCAAAACTGAAGTAAGTATGTGCCGCATATTTCGATTGGATGGGTCCCTACAAATACAAAATCTAGATTCAGTATGATCAAATAGGCCATGATATCAGAAACATACTTACTTGGGCAGAACTTAATGTGAACAAAACTATAATCAAGAGGTACAAACATCGTGTGTCAAGTATCATAAGGTCATTTCTAGCATAGTATCAAATGATCAAAATACATATTGAACAAGTTTTATTTTCCTCTTTGTTGAAACAAAAACAGGCAAAACAACTCCTGATCACATTGCATTAGTATATTCACATAAGTAGTCAGGGTTACACACTGAACACTGAATGAGATGCATTTCATGGACTAGGACATGTAAAATGTAAAATGCATGGCTATGGAAAATGCAATGCCTAGCCATTTATTTCTTGTACTTTTTTCCATGGTCGAATCATACTTTGCATGTCCAAGTTCTTTCTCCCTTTGGTTCGTCACAACCAAGGTAGAAATGTCTTAAAACTCAGCTCGGACCTCAAACTTGGCCCTTGGCCTAAGCCGAGTTACTCAGGCAAGTCTGAGTGGACTCGTCCAAGTAGTGCACATTTCCTAAGAAGGCTAAAACTTTGAAAAAAGAATTTCTAAAAATTAAAAAAGATCGTAGAAACCAAAATAAATCATAAAGAGCATTAAAGGTCTAATAATGGCGAAATAAATATAAACACAAATTTATCAAAATACACCAAAGATACTAACGATTTAACATTTTACCTATATGTTTTGGTTTAATTCCAAAATGCCCATCCAAAATACACATGATTTTCAGTTGGAATAGTAAAAAAGGGGAAATAGCCGGAGATAATTCAAAAAATTCCAAAAAAGGGGAAAACAAAATGGAGCTAATCATAAAAAAAAGTTCATATATCATCATCAAAATCATGAAAATTATATAGGAACATGCTTATATGCTGGTTTTCAGCTCACCCCTCCCAGGATCCTGCATAGGCGGGACTAGCACCGGGTTAAGACCCCTTATTTCTAATTTTTGCCGAATCCGAGTAATTTGACTCAGCCAAGGTTCTTAGCATTGCTACTAGATAGCAGCTCGCATAGTTCTTCACAATTAGAGGAATCAGATTAGAGTGTATTCAATAATGTTACTTAATTCTTTATCATCATCATTATCTAAGCATTATCCCACCTATTCAAGATAGGCTACTACATCATATTCCAGCATTCCGCCCTATCTAGGTTCATACTCTCAGTCAGACTATAAATCAGCATATCTTTTATCACTACTTCCATCCATGTCCTTTAGGGCCTTCCCCTTACTCTTTTAGAGCCTTCCACTTGAACCAAATCACCCCTCCTAACTGGTATTATTTTAGGTCAACGTTGCGCATAACCAGACTACCTAAATCTACTTTTCCTTATTGCATTGCCTATTGGAACTTACCCCTAAGTTCCCTCAAATTTATTCATCTGAATTCTATGATTGTCTTGCCACTCATCCATCTCAACATCCTCATCTCAGCTATATCCATTTTATGGATATGTTGTTTCTTGAGCACTCAACCTTATGTCCTATACAACATGGCTAGTCTTACAGCCATCCTATAGATCTTTGCTTCCAGATAAGACTCCAGAAGCGCAACTCCACTTCGTCCACCCCGGTCTAGTTCTTTGAGCAACATCTTCCTCAATCTTTCCTTTCTCATGGGCTACCGGCCCAAGATAACAAAAATAATATCTTTTATATACTTATTGGTCCAATCTTAAACTTGCATTATTAACCTTGCATTCCATATACTTGTCTTAGTTTGACAAGCTTTAAAACCTTTAGATTCTAAAGCGTCCAAGTCCAAAGTCCTAACTTTGCATTTACGCTCACTAGTCCCATCAATCAATACTATGTCATCTACAAAAAACATATACCACGCGACCTCATCTTGTGAATGCATAGTTAACTCGTCCATTACCAAAGCAAAGATTTAGGGGCTCTACAATGACCTCTGATGTAAACCTATTATCACTGAAAATTCCCTTGTCTCCCCACTAGTTGTCCTCACATTAGTTAGCACTACCTCGTACATATCCTGAACCATGTCAATATATGCTCTTGAGACTCCTTTCTTTCTCATCACCTACCAAATTATCTCTCTAGGTACCACATCGTATGCTTTCTTTAGATCGATAAAGACTAAGTGGAGGTCTTTTCTCTTCTCCCTAAACTTCTCAATTAATTGCCTGAGTAGGAAAATAGCTCAATGGTTGACCTCCTTGGAATAAATCCAAAGATTCCAAACTGAATTTTTGATACTCATTTCATGTCTTACTCATTGCTTAATCGCTCTCTCACATGTTAATTAATTATTGGTCATGAATATTTGATCACACTCTGGAAAGGGGCTGGGGTCGTGGTGGTAGCACCCCCATACCTCAGTAACCATGTCATGGTTCCATTCCCACTGACACCATCCACTAACACCTTCAAAAAACCAACTCCTAAACTATTTCAAAAAAACAGGTACTGGCCTGTCTTCCCTACTGAATTACCCCAAAAAAAAAATATTGGATAACACAAAATGGAAGCTCCAATAATACATGGAATTAATACTTCCAGGAAATAGCTAACCTCAATTCCTACATCTTACAAGATCAGGAGAACATTTACATCATCTACTTATGGCACACAGCCTGCTTGAGATAATTTCCATAGAGTATGCATGAATCCCAAAACATGCCATGAAGTAATTGGAAACCAAAACAGAAGAATTTAGGCTTTTGGCTTGGCCTTTATTACTTTTGACTTGGCTTTCTTAGTTGACTAAGAAAAGAACAATTGTTCATAAATCAAAAGATGAATGGTTTTGAATATACAACATTCCTAGATAACTCATTTTCTTTTTTAATAGGCACATCATTTCTAATCATTTGTTGTTGTTAATGTTGGAACAAATGGCAGGACGGTGTGAAAGGGGATTAAAATTCCAATGGAATTTCGAGTATCACATAATATAGTCTACCAAATTCCATGAAATCGGACCACATATATGATGACATCGGACATAAATGCACGCATATATGCTTACATATATACACATGCATGCCTTCACAAAGATAACTCCAAGCATGTAGAAGCACCTTTATTGATACAAATTCCATGAAATTCATACATATTAGTGTGTTTCATTCATTGTTCATTGAGGCAAACATCCGTGCATATGCCCATATACACACATGCACAAAGATAATTCCAAGCATGTAGAAGGATGAACATTGATATATCAGACATTGCTATTAAAAAAAAAATAGAATTTTATGTCAAATATAATTATGTATGTTGAGAAGGATAAGTGTGCCAAGTACCTGTCTGCATAAATAATGGGAAGCAACCTTAACAATAACTGCAGTCTCAACCACATGGAAGCTTGCAATGCAGAAGGAGAAGGTGGAGCAGATTCTGAGGCCCCTGTTATTCTTCTAGCCAATCCAGGACTCCCTCCTCTTATACCTTTACGTGCACCACCTTTGTTTCCACTGCCTTCTCCTCCAGAAGCAGCTGCAGCTGCCTGCTTACCAGAAACACGCGTAAACAAGCTTATTTGCTGCTCAATGTTGTTCAACTGCTTGATGAGATCACTCGCAAAAGTATTTCGGGAATCATTAGAACTTCTGTCCAGACATGGAAGCACCAAATCTGCTAGAGCCTTCTCAGTCACAAACTGTTGACCTGAATTAAAGCCATCCATTTCGAGTCCTTGGAAAGCTTGTTTGCCTGTCTTTTTAGTATCTAACCCATCGTCCACGACTTCCCCTTCTTCAAGAGAGGTGGCCTCTAACCTTCTTTTATCATTTTCTTTTGCAGTTGCATCAAGCATTGAAGTAGACCAGCCCCAAGGCTTGCAACTTTGGGTTTTAGTCGATAAACCTTTAGTCTGAGCAAGGTTCTTGAGCTTGTGCCTAAGCGACTTGCGTCCCAAAAGTACTTCAGGGCCTTCTAAAACCCATTTTGCATGAAGCAGCAGCAACTCCTCCAATGATTTCCCAAGTAAATGAACTGTTTCTGAATAGAGAGTAGCAGCATCTGGTCTGACAAGTAATCTCGTCAAAATAATTTCAGTAAAAGTTTTTTCTTTCTCGGATAGCTCACCATTATCAGCATTTGGCAGAAGAGATCTCAATGCCTCTGTTAAGGAGATGCCATGTCCATCAACTTTTTCAATAAGAACTTGTTCATTCAAAAGAAGCCTCAGCTCAACCCATTGCCAATGGAACTTTGCCGGTTGCAGGGTGTCTAAAACATGCACAAGTTGATTCTGAAGCTTCAGCTCACTCTCAGTCGACACTTTTGATTCCCCATGGCCATGTGCCCAGACCCCATCATCTTGCAAGGGATTAGTTGGCATTCTACAATCGAGAACAGCATTTAGGAACATCCTGGCTCTGAGGGGTACAAATGCCATTATTCTCACATGTTTGTCAATATTTTGCACTTCCAGCATTGATGCAAACTCGGAGTCGCAAGAATCAGAAGCTAGAAGAACATAGAGGGCATGTGTATCTCTCAAACAAGTATCTCGGAACGGTTGGTGCCTGATAACATCACCGATAGCTGAGGATAGAGACTGATACAATTGAATGTCTTCTCGAGTTGCAGTGTGGCTGTTCATGATGATAGGCCTCCAAATCACCATGGCAAAGACTGAATATGCAGGGGGAAAGACTAAGTTAAGAGGAAGCATTCGCTGCAACCTTGAAAAAGCAAGGATGGCTGTTTCACCAAGGAACTCAGCAACTAGACCATCAAAAACAGTTCTGCAATTACCAGCAAGTAGCCTAAACCAGTGCACAGATACCTCCATGGAGTTGTCAGCCTTGTAATTACCCATTGAACGAGGAAGCCCATTTGAGCAGGATCTCGTACCCCTTATGACTTGTATGAAGTCCAGCCCCTCCTTTAATTTGAGGACCGTTACCATCCTTTCAAGGTTGGTGATTCCATGAATGATGGAGTCAATGACCAATGCAGAGGCAGCTGCTGCTGCCTTTGTGGGCCTTCCCAAAATTATTTTTGCAGAACTGCTCATAAGTTCATTGGGCAAATTGGAATTTGTATCTGAGGTTTCAGGAGAAAGCTGGAATTGGCTTCGAGGAACCTTGCCAGGGGAGAAAGCTCCAGCAATAGTAGATGAAGCCTCTGTTGCAAGAGCAATCTCAAAGGCACGGGTATGGCGCTCACCAAGAGCGTCCTTCAATAAGCAGAGACAACACGTGTGCATTTGCATAATACGCCTTGCACAATTAAGTGAGAATGAGCTCAGGGTCGAAGCTGAACCTGAGTAAGTGGCGCTTGATGCCAGCTCCAGTATGTTATTTGTGGCATTACCCACATTCCCAACAATTGCAGAAACAGCGGCTGCCACTTCGACTTGTTGGGCTCCCGCCCCATTCTGCCTGATACAGTCTATAACACCCGAAACAATGTGATGGGCACTCTGATACTCCTCATCCCATTTTTCAATGGTGAAACTTCGAGGAGCTAAAGCAGTGAGTTTCCTTTCTTTGCCAACTATGTAGTGTGCAGCTTCCCCAATATGCCGTTGCACTATTTCCTTCATGCTGGGCCCCGCCCGGGACAATCTTCCTGCACTTATTTTTTGTCGAAAGTAATCATCAAAATCTTCAGATCCTGAAGGTAGCCCACTGAGCGTAAATCCTAAATCACTATCGAGGGATCGCCCAGATTCAAGTTCAGCAAGGAGCCTCTGGTCACAGGTTGCTTTGAAATTCTTCTCCCATTTAATCACACTCGCCACACTGCCATACCTCCGCAGTAAAACCCTGGCATAATTAAAAGCAGCCGAGATAGAAACCCTTCCATGTGATGTCATAGCCACCATTGCTCGATGCATTGCAGCTGAGAGTAATTCGGGAAGGAGATCCACTGCAATGAGTATATTCTCATACCTGAACCATATGGATGGTAGTCAGCTACATCATATATGGAGTTAGGCTGCATGCATCGACTCTGGATAAATGATTTTGTTTCTTTATAAGCATATGGCGAGTGTCGTGTTATTACTTGCAGAATTTTAAAAGAAAATAACTTTCCGTCTTGATTGAAATAAAACGGATGAAACAAAATGAATCAGACATCAGTCAGAAGCATATAAACAGAGGCTGACGCAATGAATGGTGGAAAGGCCTCAAAAATCTGGTAGCAGAAAAATGGTCCATTATATGGTGAGAATTGGCAGCTAGGTGATCTCAATTTCCGTTTCATTTTCCTTGATGGCATACAAAATATAAAGTAGTTTCACAGTTGCTGGATGGAAACAAAGTTGCCACAGAGGGAATTTGGATTCATAAAAGGTAATGGGGAAAGAATGTAGGATATGCCGACCAATGTAGAAGATTGATGTACAAATATTAATTACATGTACAACAATGCACGAAAGAGGATACAGGACAAACCAAAGACATGCTTGTGGATATGTCTACCACTAATAAATCAGGAAAGAAGTTAAAGAACCAGGGAAAAAATGGAAAGAAGTTGCAGATATATAAAGTAGCAATATTTGTATATTGCTGAAAAGAACCAAACAAAGAATTCTTAGAACATCTATATAAGCTGCTTATATGAAATAATCAACGGAAATGTAATGCATAAGAACTTCCCGATATATTCCGCATCCAACATAAGAAATGAAAGAAAAACAATTTTCATGCAAACCTTTGAAGACATGAAAGCAAGAAGGCCTCCCCCACTTCACATGAGTCACCATCCTTATTCCCAGGTAGGACTGAAATGTTTCTGCCACTATGAACAGGTAAATTTGGACCACTTGAAGCCTTTGGTAACAACCAGAGCAAAATCTTTACTGCAGAATACAAGTCAGACGAGACATCCAACAGATACAATATGGAAGATAGGGAATCTTCACCTAGCTTCCATCGAACTGCATTCTTATCGTCACTTGCAGGAGAAAAAGGTCCAAAGGATTGGCCCATGTTGGTATTGGCCTTTTCTCTACCTTCAACTAGCTGCTTGATCATAGACCTCAACCAAATGGTAATAGACCACTTCTCCACCACCCTCAATTGTTTCAAAGCTTTTCCCAGAGCAATAATATCACCAGTACGCATTGCTTTCAACCCATTCCTGATCTTAGGGTTTTCTCCTTCCAAACTAGACCTATGGTGGGGACAGTTTATTTTATTCTCACATACATGACTCGAAGATGCCCCTTGACTACTTTCTATTCTAGTGGCACCAAGATGAGCCAAACTTTGGGTTTTGCGAACAATTCTCTGCCTACCCCTAGAAGTGTGTTTGATTGGCTTCACAGGCTGCTCAATTTTGGCCAACTCCAATGGTTTAGGCCCCTTCTTCATCCACCAAGTATCTTCATCATCTGAAGGTATGGACAAATATCCTTGCAAATATGAACTCCGTTCATCACTTAGCTTATGCCTCTTGATCTTTCTGCATTCCTCACAACCAGGAGTTCCTTCACCCATCTCCAAACAGGATCCAGGAGAACTAGCAGGCCTCTTTAGATTCCCCTGAGATGGGTACAGTTTGTCCTTCCAAGCATGGCGCAAATCTGGTAACTGCAGCAAAACCGAAATAGAGGCCTTAAGCTCCGCAACTCCAACTTTTATTATTGTAGATTTACCAGACAAAGGACTGTGAACTGCTTGGGAATTCTGCCTTTGATCAAATGAAGAAGATAAAAACACATCCTTCCCTATATTTAAATGGTGGTCCTTTTGCATCTGGGACGCAAAATTCGAAGACCCATCATTTTCATTTCTTGAATGTGACATAAACCCTTGAAGCACAAGTCGCCGCTCGTTCGAGTACTGATGCACTGCTTCAGGAGAAACTAACACTTCAGCAACCCTTGTTCCTTCCAAAGCATCAAATAAATGGTGCCCTGGAAGCTGCTTTAAGATTCGAATGTGTCGCTTCCTCCTGTCAACATCTGCTGGAGTATCAACCTTGTCCATTATTCCACTAACTATCAGTTGCCTAACATATGCCTGGGGATAAAATATACCACAACGAATGAGCTCAATAATGAGCACTTGAAGACGTTTAAACCCTTCACCTTTACCTGTATCATGCTGATCAAGCCAAGATACAACAATTTCATGCAATGGACCAGGACTCTGAAATATGTCTGATGAATCTGTGCTGCCATATGATTTCCTTGAACTGCCTTTTATCATACTAGGATTTTCCAGGGCAGCATTGCCTAAAGGCTTATCAAGCAATGAACCCTTTCCAGGAACACTGGCACCAGGTGAGGATCTATCCTTGTTGAGTAATGAGATGCATATTTCTTCCTTTTTCAACTTCAGAAGAGAAACTGCCATGTATACTTGAGAAATATCTTTTCTACCAGTAACTTTTACATCAGATGAAGGGGGAGTATGGAAATCCCTGAAATCACATGTAGCCCACTCGCATAGAAAAAACACTGAATAAATCAGTGATTGACTAACTATTCCAATCCACTTCAAGCATGACTGTAAATTTGGACTCACTTCTGAAATCCACCCTTCAGCAGCATCTGCATCACAAACGTCTTCAAAAACAGAGTTATGAGCACCTCTCACATCTCCCAGGATCAAAGTCTTGTCCAAGGATTGCACAAGTTTAGCCTCAAGATGACCTTGAAGGCCAGGACTCACAGCCTTTGTGAGATGCGCAGCACGGATTTGAATGGCTGAAACCACATGCCTAAAGGCCACTTGGCGACCTGAAACAAATCTTCCTTTCTTAGTTCCCTTATTGAAATTCTCTGCAGAACCAGACTGACCTTTTCTTACATCGGGAGAAATTGTCACTAAAGCACTGGCATTTTTAGAATCAGGAAATACACAGGATGGCAAGGGAAAGCTGTCCAGGGCAACAAAGGTATCAGGTACATTAAGAATCAGATATTGTAGCAATTCAGCTAAGGAGGATGCCACATAAGACCTCAGAGAATTATCCACTGGATTTGAAACCCAAGTAGCAAGCTCTTCTAAAGAACGTAATGATATGTCCACAAGCATCCGCACATATGATTGACAAAGTGCAATGCTCTCTATTAAGTTATATACAATAGGAAGGAGCAATTTTAATACTTCTAGGGATTCATTTTCCTGCAGGCATTCAAGAAGCATATTAGAAACAATCCAAGTTCCATCTTTTCATTAACCAAATCATGAGAAGTTGAAAAAATTATGAGAAATGAAATTAACTTGAAATTCACAAACAACATATAAGCCAATCAAGCTCGGGTTATGTTGTAACTAAAGACGAGGTGTTATAAACCTGCAATTGACTGAGAACCCATTCAATAATTTGGGAAGGAAGAAGTAACCCTTCTGCATAGTGCCATTGAATGATCTGCACCATGTACCACCACTTGAACTGTAGCGCAGGCTCCTCTCCATCCGAAATGACCTGTATCGAATCCCCCCCATGGTGTTGACCAGTGCCAAGCAACTGTGTTTGTGGCGAGTGATCCCTACTATGGGGAACTGAATGAGAACCCTCATTGTGAAGGAATTCATCTAAGAGGTGTTGCAAATAATCTATGACATCCTTGGTCCATAGCTCTGTACGATTGGATTGAGTTTTGTCTGGGCCTCCAGAGGGAACAGGTCGCACCTGTGAGCCATAGAAGCAATTTCAGGGACAGTTAATATAAGAAGCATATTTTATCAATTTCCAAAATGAACTAAAAAAAATTTAAAAAAATTAGCAGTAGGATCATGAACCTGATTGAGATAATTGACTTTGATAAACCAAGTTGCTCTCAACAAGGGGACATTGTGCCTAATAAGAACTTCAAAGAGAGACCGTTTCCTGTATCCATGAGGGACGTGGTCCGCCAAAGAACGCAAACGCTTGTGCTGCTGCGATAATCCCTGTGAACAAAGCCGGAAAAGTCATAACAGTCTTCAACAATATTTTCTAATCTACACCATTTAATCACTTAGATAATTCTGAAGATAATCTCTTAGATAATTCTGAAGAGCTTCCACAACAAATACTTAAGATAGTACATAGCCATAGAGAATAAATGGAAGTAAACATAAGGGATCAGAAGATAAATCCTCATCACATATTCACGAGGTGTTATTTCTTTAGCAAATTGTTTGGGGGAGTGGGAGTTGGATGGATGATATTAACTAACTTCTCAGCAGTAAAAGAAACAGTAGTTGTGCGATAACACATCAAGATTAACATAATTTCTGAACAGCAGTTAGGAAGGATTCAGAGGAATGTGGTGAAAATGTTTAAAAAGGGAATAGAAGGTCACAATAGAAAGTGAAGTTCCCAAAATCAGAAGTAAGAAGGCATGGAGGTACTCACTAACAAGAGACAAGAAATATATTAAACTTCACAAAATTCTTTTAACTCCATTTAGAGGCATTATCTTTCTGATATGATTTCAATTCCATTTTTTTCTGGTATTGGAATGGAATTGCGCAAGGGAAATTGGACGGGAATTACTCCATCCATCTCTCAGTTGTGGACGTCAGATACTTGGCAGTTAAGGGCATCCGCGGGCACCCATCCGCAAAGTGGAGATTCCAATCACTGAAATTTTAATTTTGTGCTTTGTGCAGGAGTGTCAAGGAGACAATGGAGCTCCCCTTGACTTGTCCAAGAATGGTTTCTTAGCATTTTCAAAATCTGTTTGGTGCTACCCAAGTCACTCAAGGAACTAATTTGCTCAATAGATGGTAAACATTTTTCATCCTGAAGCAACATACTTCAGAAAAAATTTCATCAACAACATGAGGATGGGCATTAGAGAGGAAGGAGCTTGCGATCATCAGGGAATACAAATAAGGCACGTGGACCAGTAAAATAGCAGGAAATATTGTTAAAAGCAGATCTCCCCAAGGATAATTATGGAAAGTTGACTATAGTCAACTCAAGGAATCCTAGAAACCTAATTATGAGTGTAGCATTCTCTCTCAAAAACAAGTATGAGTGTAGTATTAAGTAGCCACAAAATGGGAGGAGTTGGGCAGTTTACTAAGGAAAGGTCCGTCCAAGGTTAAAATGGTACTTCCAGGGCAAGTTGAATTTAGGGCTCTTTTAAGAAGGCAGTAGTCATAAAAAAATTTGGTGTCTTTTTTGGTCCGCTATAGTCGAAGAGTATTCAAACAAGCTCATGACATATGCTATCCGCTGGACCCTCAGTCCTAATTAACAAAATTATATACATAAATTTAAAAACTTAAGAATGGAAGTTCTACAGAGATGTTAATAGAGCATGTCGTTAAGACTGCACCAAAAAGGGAATTCCAAAACAAACAGTTCAAGGACAGCTCAAGTATGTACTTTCAAGCAGAAATAGACTTAGAACACAAACCTCAATCCATTTCTTTCGAAAGTCTTCCCCACTTGGTCGTTGTTCTGGAAAAACACCAGATTTTATCAACAATGGCCCAGAAAGAGGAACACCATAAACTTGTCCAGCCTATCACATGCCAAAAAGTAACATTCAGCTTTGAGAGTTAAGCGCAGGAGAGAAGAGAAGAAAAGAAACATGGCAAGCATCAAGCACAAGTTGTCAACCACAAAATAAGTCCATCTGACAACTTACCTTGCGCTTTTGGGCACGAGATTCATTGATAGCCCTCAGACGTTTTCTGATTGCCTGGAAAGAACAAAGAGTGGAAGAGGAAAAGCCAATAACAGATGTTCAAATTTTAGTGATAATAGAGATAACCATAACTAGGAGTCAAAATTTTTAACTTATTTTGTTTTATAACTCACTGAATCTATTGAAATATGGCATATAGCTGAAACAAATATGACCAAAGAAAAGACCTCCCCCCCACCCTACCCCACCCACCCCTACCCCCAAAAAAATAACAAAAACCTTTTAAGCTTCTGAACCCCAAATTAATTTATTTACAGTAAAGCCAAAGAAAATATACTTCTCTGCACCCAGTCACTTTTCCCGTTCAAGCACGCATAGTCAGAAAACCATAAATTGTTCAAGAGAAAAAAACTTTAAGATAAAGAACGCAGAAGTTACAAAACAAAACAAGTAAAAACAGCAAAAGTGGTGACCTATAACTATGAACTGTCATAATCTTAAATACATAACATTCCAAACCTGGTGACAATAAGGTGATGAAGTGATTTGATACAACTAGTAACAATGCCCAAGAAGCTGAAGTAGAAAAGAAGGATACAGCAATATGCATTAATGCCTAAGAAAGAACTAAAATTCTCAAATAAACTCATTTGCCCCCTAGAAATAATGATTTTTTGTGTGATTATGAGAATTTGTAACATACTTGGAGCATGGCTCAAGACCTTATTTCCAGTATAAACACGCACATTGATCAAAAAGCAACTCATATGGCTCAAAACCTAAAGACCAGAATGGTATAATATCGCATCTATTGGTGTATTATTGGCAAATGCACTCAAGCAGAAAATTAATACACAGTGGAAATCTAGATTTTTCTAGTATTTCTAACAATCTAATCAGTACCCTATGCTTAGAGGCAGGACCAGAAAATAGATATTCACTCTTAACACTACCTGCTTTCACATGTCCCCCCAAAAAACAACTAGAATCGTTTCTTTCTGGCACAAATTAAACAATCAGGTTTTCCTGATGAGAATTCAGCCCCTGAGACTTATGGGTATCCCCATTCATTACTACACACTATATAATGAACAAGAATATCAGCATGACTTTTTCCAGGCCATGGTTTCTGATGGAAAAGTAAGATTTATTCAGATAGCTAAGAGATGATTTGGACAGTTCATGAGCTCTGCTTCTCTCCAAAAAATTCCTTTACATACAAAATTCAATTCCCATCATGCATCCCATTTTTTTATTTTTTTGTAGCTCCTCTCTCATTCCAAGAATGGATGAAATGAAGTATCAAAAATAATTAAATTCTATATAATAAAATAAAGAAAATATATAATAATTTCCACAAAGTTATTTAGGTTTAATCAAACAAAATAATAGCAATCAAATTCTATTATCTATATTACACTATATTTCTTTTTTTATTTTTATATTATATCATAGGTATATGTGGAATTAGGTATGCACGTATCAAAATCTTTGTTTGGAATGCATGCAAGTTAAGGTATGTGATTGCCTCTGGTTATATATTATAGTTCCATCAAGAACATTATATCATAAAACAGACAGAAATAAATATGTCAAGTTAGGACCAACCATCTAACAAATGAGGACAGATCATTTATTCAATAAAACACATTACTAAAGTGAAATGAGTTTCCTCAGAAATAGTAACTTCAAGGACTACTCATTTCAAAAGCATCTCTGGCAAATTGTAGTACGCATACATAAAATCCATGGCAGTCAAAGTATTTAGAGGGGAAGTGTGGGATAAAGTGACACTATCAGTTGGGACATTATCTAATGCGCTAGTGGAGCCCCAAAAATAGAGGATACAGCATTGAAGTCCTTAAAAATTTCGACCACAATCGAGGATGCTAGATGAAAGCCAGCTCCTAAGGATGTAAACATGGTTCATCCAATGGAAATCCTAGTCCTGCATCTTGTGGAGAAGTCCACTAGAAGCAAAAAGAAAGGCATTTTTAGAACTCTGCTGCAGGGGAAATTTCTATATGAGCACAGAAGATTATTTACTTTACGTGCCGAACTTTTTGGTATTATTCTACAGGCCTCTACTGAAGTGCTGCATTTATAAGTAATCCAACTTATCAAAGTTTCAACTCCATTCAATCAAATTTCCTACACTGGAATAGTTTTTCCAATATGTTGAGACAATCATCTCCCTTGATTAATGAATGCAATCCCTTTCACAAATTATTCCTCACTCACATCCTATTTTATTTCAATTTGTAAACTGTTTGCCACTATGAAACTTTTATTTGATCAGTCACTATGACACCTTTATTTCCTCCATCCAAGGTCAAAGTCATTCTTTGAACCCACATCCCCATTAATGAATTTGAATTAGGCCATTTAACAAACTCCTAAGAATGTAATGAATGAAAATAATGATAATGAACATATAATAATAAAGAGAATGATTTTGCACTCATCAATCAATCCTACAGAACAGATGAATGAATTCAACCATCAGTTTAACTAATTAAAAAGTAATAAAATGATAACTAGATTAACAAACACATCAATAAGATCACCTCTTTGCATCTGACTATCACAGGCTTCGACAAAGTTCCGATTTGGGTAAGTGTTATCTCTCTAGCCTCCTTAAACAAGGAAAAAAAACAGTCAGTAATATCTAAATTTCAAGTGTATGCACACATTTAACACGCAAAAAAAAAAGGGACAATGCACTACATACACAGTAAAAGAATCTGAAAGTTACGAAAGTTCACATAAAGGAAAGGGAAGTGCTCATCCGTAAATAGCTTATGTAGACAATGTATGGAAGTATCCATAAGCACGTCTACACGTTCGGAACTAAGGATAACTATCAATGTACATATAAACAAATGTTCATTTACTAAGTGATAACCGATCAGCAAGTTTTCTTCCCATTCCATTAATCCCTCACCATCCCCATACAAGGCCCCAACCTGAGGTATTAATGTTTGATCTTATGGGGGGGAGGGGCTACGAACAGCTTAGAATGCCTTCCTTAGTGATGCCCTAAAAGCAATAACTATCAATGTAAACAAATGTTCATTTACTAAGTGACAACCGATCAGCAAGTTTTCTTCCCATTTCAAACATGAATGCTGATAAAGCTCATGAAGGTGGATCCATATCCATTAATTCCTCCCCATCCCTGTACAAGGGATCCCTCCCCAACCAGAGGTATTAATGTTTCATCTTATGGAGGGAGGGGCTACGAACAGCTTAGAATGCCTTCCTTAGTGATGCCCTAAAAGAGAATGAAATTGATACATTCAAGGATTTGTTGGCAGACTTTCAAGGGATCCTTTTCAGCCTTCACAGAGAAGATCACCTCAAATGGTCCCCAATTCCAATGGACTTTTTTTAACTTAAATCAATGCATCGAACCACAGTTGCCTCCAACTGCCCATGTCGCTTAGAAAGCATTTGTGAGCGAATATCCTTTCTCTACAGCCATATTCACATCTCATTTCGACACACTTGGCGAGAGGCAAACTCTAGAGCAGACTCTTTAGCAAAAATAGGGTGCACTTTCATGAGCCAGCAGCGGCAGCTAATACGAAGTTTTGTGTCCTTATCTTTGTTGGTTTTCTGCTTCGCTGTATGGTGTGCTTTCTCAAGCACCAGTTTTTGTTTCGCTTGTCGCTTGCATTCTCAGGCACCATTTTTGTATAGTATGGCCCCATTTGCGGGCCCCCAACACATTTTCTATACTCCATTTCGGTTAATGAACACACAGTCAAACATTAAGAAAAATAATTAACTTAAATTAAATCAATGTATCGAGCCATAACCTGGTGCTCAGAGCGGAGCAATGTTGCAAATAGAGTGTGGAGTATCCCTGAGCCTGTCAAGAACCAACTGTTTGCTGCTCGTGATTCTTAATGGGCTACTGACTGTCAGCCATTTGATAAGCAGAGGGCTGATCATACCTAATATATGCCTAATGCGCGACAATGATAGACAGACAGTCAGCCACCTGTTTCTACAATGCACCTTGGCTACTGTGTTGTGGGCCTTTGCGTTGAAGCAGTTAGCTTTTGCATGGGTGCCATCATAAATTAGAACACTCTTTATGCATTGGCTTGCCTCATTACTGGAAAAGAGATTAAGCAGCCAACTATAGCGGCAGTACTCGAGATGCTTCAAATCTAAAAAACAAAGGATGGATAGGGACAATGAATACCTCAGGACATTAGTTGCTTCTTGGGGAGAGAAAAGAATTCAAAGGCTATTCAGATTCAAAGCCTACTTAATGGAAGATTTTGAGAACCAATGTCACCAGAGATTTTGTATTCAAAGCTATCAACTTCAAAAACTAGTGAAGCAATGGAAAGGTCTACACTCTCTGCAGGCATAATAAAAATTAAATTTTGACGGAAGTAGCAAGGGAAGCAGAAACCTACTGGCGTAAGAGGAGTTATGAAGGACTGCCAGGAACAAATATTGAGAACTTATTCAGGTCCAATCAAAGGTGATAATTCATAAGAAATAGAGGAATGGGCTCTATTGTGTCTTTTGAAGGAGCCTGCATGGAATTCAATCATTAAAAATGAGGCTCCAGCAATGTAATCAGATATACTTAAAGAACAGAACAATGTCCATGGCCTCTATATAATATTAATGTGTTTGAAGAAATATGGTACAGGTGCAGTCGACTACAAAGTACAAAACTCCATCCGATATGTCAGCTGTGAGGTCAATAGAGAAGCAGATGTCTTGGCAAAGGTAGGGCAACCAAAACAGAGCTGATAGTTACAGTTTTCAGTGCATTTTGAATCTCATGTACATAGACCAAGTTTTGATTTATTTAGAGTCGCCTGTACTCTGACTCAATTGTATAAAAGCCCAGAAGAAAATTTCTGTCATCCTCATCCTAGATGATTAAAGAAATTCAGTTATTAGTCAATAAAACATACAAAAATAAAAAGATCAGGAAGTCCCTTATGCCAACCAAAAACTCTTCTGATTCGTGTATTAAGTTAGTTCCAAGTAGAAAAGAATCATTCCAATATGGATTGATGGAAGTGTCAGAATAAAGAAGGCCCTATATCTGATTATCAGCCACTTCACTTGGTTGCTAAAAATCACAGTTGAATTGGAATGAGCAGCAAAACGTATCTTAAAAACAATATACTTCCAATACCATGTAAAATCTACAAATAATGCCAAGCACAATGCTCAAGTTTCAACCAACAGGGTTCCTCAAAATGACAAAAAGAAGAAGAAGAAGCTTTAACCAGAGAATTGTTTCTTGTATGACATACTCCATCCTAATGCATATGAAAACTCTCAACCATTAGGAATTTCCTACATTCTAATTCTCACATGTTACATTTCCTCACACAAAAAATACCTTTCTAAGTTTCCATCAAACAATAATATTCTGGCCAATGAATTTATGAAGAAAACCCATATTCACTTAAATCGCAGTGCAATTCCCCCAACATAGTTTTGGACAAGGAATGTAACAAACTGCACCATGCGCAGATTCAAAAAGGTTAACCAGTAGTCAATGATATAGCTTGTCAGAAAAAAAAAGGGTATTCACTAATTATATAGGCCACTCTGAACAATCAAACAAAGTGGAATATTTGCCAAATAATCTGACAATAATCTGTTTTTCTTTTTTGCCCTTTTGGATCATAACCTGACACGAATATTATTGCATTTCTAATAAAGAAAATTTCCATGGCACCCCACTCTAGGTAAGTAAATATATCACAACCAACATAAGTAAAAGAGTGGAACAGCCCCACAACCACTTGGTACTGGCCAGTCAAAGAAACTAAGAGGAAATTATTTGACTACAGACATAAAAAAATTTGGAAAACAAGAGAATATAAATTTCCATGAGTGAAAACCATTGCTGGAGGAACATATCCGTATGACTATATGCAAGTAGAATCATGGAAGAGCCCCCACTGTCTTGGGTTGAATAACCCATCTATCACAATTTTCCTTCAACTACCTGTTAAAGGCACAATGTTTTCCGACAAGAGAACCACTAAAGAGTGAGCATATGGAGCGTTTCTCAATTCAGAAATGGCCAGAAAGAGTTTTTTTTCTTTTGTTCTTTTTTCTTTTTGGTAACCATTGTAATCCAAGCTAGACTACCATCCTTACCGCATGGGAGATATTCGTTTTTTTCTGTTTATGCTCCTCTTTTTCTTTTATGTTTTATTTTCTTCAGTTAGTTATTACAATTCATTGATCTCCTTTTTATTTTAACATTCATTCTTTCTCTATTATTTTCCCTTTTGTTTGACATTTAACTTACTACAGTGTGTTTGATGAATAATGAATTTAACATCACCATTTCCACAATAAAATTTAACTGCCTTTTCTTTTCTTATTTGTACTTCCTTTCTCATTGTGTAAGTTCATTTCATTTGATGATGATCAAGATGGCATTATTTTGCTACAGAAAGAGAGAGAGGGACCATAGAAATCTCAAACATAACTAAAGTAGCAACCCATAGAGCACAACAAACTTTCACTAGACAAATGCATCATTTAGTAATACAAAGAGAACAACAAAAAAAAAAAACATACCTCGATGCCATCAATTGTTTCCCGATAACCAGATTGAAGAACTTCCTTGGTTAGCGTCTCTTCAGGGCAATTTGGAGTTTGGGGGTAAAAGTCAGGTGGTCCAAGACTATCAAAATGATTTCAAAAGAAATGACGTTACATGAAATGAAAACCTTTTATATCACACGCAAACCATTTATTCTGCATAACAAAGGTTTGAATCATGATGAATCATTCTATGCATTTCTCAATAACAATAAAAAAAAGACCAGAAACTGGGGGGGAAATGGTTAGGAAACTATGGCCAGTCTGATATTTTTTTAAGTATACACTATCATCAGATAATCTCGAAGTTAATCGCTTGAAAACCTATCCGTAACAATACATATCAATTTTCTCCCATAAAAACTTTTTAAGAAGGGAAAACATTGAAGGAAACAGAATGGTGAAGGCAGATATAAAAGTTAATTAAGGCAACATCCAAACCAGAGACATGCAAAATCAGACAAGAAGGAAACAAGGCAAATCAAGTAAAAGGAAGCAAGGCATAAAAGGCAAATAGTAACAAGCATGCCCATGAAAACAGTGCCAATGAAAGTAGATGCATAAGATACCTCCAACCAAACTTCTCACTCAGACAATAAAGCAAAAACCTTCATCAGGAGATGTCATTTATTGGAAGGAGTAGATGTTAACAAAAAATAAATCTGGGAATCACTTAAATAATAAGCACAAACCAACAAAGGAATAGAATGATATAGAAAAGCGAACTCTATTTACACAAATGTGTAGGAAACCACTTAAATAATAGGCTTCTATAGAAACTACAACAAAGGAATATATTGCTATGAAAAAGTAAATTCTTATTATACATAAATGTAAAAAAAAAAATTGAAATGCCAAATTCAAAGATCAGTCAGAAGAACAGAGCAAAATAATTTATAAGAAGGCACATAACTAGTCTCATGTATAAAATATGTTTGGCAAGGAAGAATTACCGGCTACTCAAAGGCTCTTTGTCACATTTAAGCTTGTATGGCGTCAGCTGTAAAGATCGCCTGCTAAACAAGAAGCAGAAGAAAAAAAAAGGCTGGTTTCATTTTGTCTTAAAAAAGCTGGTTTCATAAACCAACATGTTGGTGTCTCTAATTATTTTGAGCAATAGAAAAGAAGACCAAAAAGAACCTAGAAGGAAACATATTCAATGACAAGGCATAGAGATCATTCACAACAAAGAATTTCAAAATATTTAAGCTTCCTGCATTTTTGGGGAACATCAAGTCAAACCTACAGATATAGGCATTGATAATTAACAATGATTAGTGATGCCAGCTAATGAAGCAAAAGTATTTAATAGCATGTTATGTTACAAAACCCCAATTACTTAAAAACATGTATCGTCGCTTCATCTGTGACACACAATCATTACCCTGGAACCAACTCACTGTTATTTATTTTATTTTAAAAAACTATTTATTTTAAAGTTACAAATCTCATCAATGAATGGCAGTTAGAGTAGTAACTGTGAAAGAAGAATAAAAACAAAGGCATTGTTTTGGAGGGAAATGAAAGTAAATAACATTGTTCAAAAATAAAAACGCCTAAGCCGGGCCTAGGCGGTCACCTCAAGGGGGGCACCTTGGAGAAACTTGGCCAAGGATGGAAAAATGTCCACAGCTGGGGGCATTTTTGGGATTTTTTTTGAGATTTTCCCCCAAAGGGGGAAAAGGCTTTGGGGGAACATTTTAGTCCCCCAAAACCCCTCTTGCATCCTAGGGAGAGAATGAGGGCGATGCCCCACTATCTGTGTTTTGAGAAAGAGATAGAGAAAGGGACAAAGGCACCACTGTGATCGATAATGTTAGAGAGAGAGAGAGAGAGAGAGATGTTGGGGTTTTGTGTAGGGGTGGCAACGGGTCGGGTCCAGCTGAACCCGGACCGGGACCCGGAATAGTGTATATTTACCCGGACCCATATCTGATAGGTTTAAATTAAACATACCCATACCCATACGCGACGAGTAATTTTGGACCCGAGACCCGTACCTGACACTAGCCAATACAACAATTCAAAAATAAGCTGTGTCATTGCCACAAGCACCCACTGCCTTTGCTTTTATAGACTAAACTTACTCATTTCTTTGTACTCCCATCGATGTGGGACTATCTTAATAGACAGCCTCTCTCCCTTTTCATACTTGTTGGATGGAAAAGGTCCACTTTTGGTCTTTTGCATGTAGGCAATGCCTTATGTCTGTACACGTGATCCAATAGCTGGAGCTCTCTTTTTAGGTCAGGCCTGCCTACCCCTTCCCCAAAGATTCCTTTTTTTGAAAACCACGTGGACAACCCACCTTTTTTACCAAGGCCACTCCACGATTTTTTGTTTAAAGAGAGAGAGAGAAAATGATTGTTGCTTTGTGGGTTGAAAAGAACTTTTAATCCCACATCCAAGGATTTAGAAGGATATTGTGATGGGGTTTGTTATAAAATAAGGGGTAAGTTTCTAAAGAAGAGAGAAACTTCGGGTCCCAGGTCGGGTGTGGGGCGAGTCCACTAGTACCCGAACCCGTACTCGTACTCGAAAATGTTCGAGTCCATTAAAAAGGACCCGGACCCTAATCGCGGGTACAATTTTTGGACCCATACCCAGACCCTGTCAGGTATACCCGGTGGGTCCCGGATCGCGTCCAGGTCCATTGCAAGCCCCAATTTTGTGGCCATTAAAAGGGCTTATGAGAGCATGTACTGAAAATATATAATGAATTATTGACTCTAGTGGGAGTATGGTCCAGCTTGGACTATAGGGCATTGATAATGCCTTAGACTCATATGAATTTTAACTGGCTATGACTCAATGTGAATTCCAAAACCCGTAGTCCTGAGCATTGTGTAAGCACAACTGATAAGGGTTTCGATGTGGGGTTATCCCTCGATGAGGTCAGAGATGCACTAGGACAGTTGGCCAGGGGACATGGATTTGATCCCTATGTGTGATGGAAGGTCTGAGAGGATAGGGGCCTAAATCCCCATCATTACCATCACACAGCATGAACACTAGAAAGCAGTCCGGGAAGCGACCCTTTGGATAAGGGTGTGTGATGTGTACATGTGTAGAAGAGTTGACTCCCTGCAACACTAGATTGTGTTGGAAGGACCCATGAAACATACTGCTGAAATGGGCCCTGGAGTTGTCCTCAGGGAGGGACCTGTAATCCATGATCTAGGATCGTATCTTCTACACTCATTGGCTGACTTTGATAGTCCAATCATGAACCCCTACGATGGGTTGTGAGTCATGGGATCGGATGGGTCAGTTTGAGAAAGTGCAGTGAGATGCAATCTCTCGAGAGGATGGAGTCCTCAGTATTTTTTTGTCGTAATACTAACTCTATGGATCCAATTCCCATCAACCTTTCTTAGATATGTTTTACTATGTTTTAATTATTTTTTAGATAATTAAAATGAATTTTTAGACCTCTCTACGTATTTCTTTTAATGAAATATGATTTTTAAAAAGAGCAAAATCAATTTCTTGGATTTATTTTAATCAGAAAGAAAAATAAAATATTTGGAGGTTTTATAAAAAATATTTTATTATCTGAAAATTAAGTTTAAGGCATTGGGGGCCCATTGGGCCCACCATATTGTGGGGGTGTGAGGCCCACATGGCAACCCACTTCCTCCATACTTCCCTAGATTGAAAGATAGCAATTATGCCTAATGTTGCCAGATTCGCTTCGAAGTCTACTTCGGTTTGATCTAAAAAATGAAGCAATTCGGTGTTTCGACTAATTCGGGAGAAAACTTCGTTTTTTTTATTTTAAAATAGATATTTTTATAATTTTATAAAAATATTTTTATAATTTTATAAAAAAATCTTAAAAATAAAAATTAAAAATTAAATAATAAATAAATTTGTTACAAATGAAAAATATCAAAATATAATATCGACTAAATTAAAATATTCAAAGTTTCAACAAAATATTCAAAATCACAAATTTTCATTCAATATTTCGTAATCCCAACTCATACCCTTCCAAATTTCTTTGTTTTTTTTTTGAGAAAAGTTAACTTTTGTGTTACTATAAAGGGTTAGAGAACCATTTTGGGTTAATCCGAGAGTACCCACTAGACGGGTCTCTCCGTAAAAAATAGGTCAACCGACCTTGTACAAAAAATGGTCTTATAGATCTGCCCGATTACAATAGATTTACAATGAAGTTACAAAAAATGGGCTTATAGGTTTGCCTGTTTACAAAGAGATGTTCTACTATGTGTACCCTCTGTGGCCCAGAGCAAAAACAGAGATGTACCGGGTTTGGTCTTCTACTTGGGCCCTAGCTCCGTCCTTCGCCAGGAGGTCGGAGAACTCATTTGACGTCCTCGAGGTATTGCTTTCAGAAGATGACCATATCCCTGCAAATGAAAGCAATCTCATCAAAGATAGAAGCGAGGTACCATGGAGGTGCGGATCTCCCGGTTGTCTATGAAATAATATTACGTGCATTTCCCTCCACTAAAAGATTCTTCCCCCGAGACTGATTGAAGCTTTTGAGACCCAACAGCAAGGCCAAAGCTTCGGCATACGGAGAATCTTCAAGGCCTAGGTACTCGGAGTATGTAAACAGAATTTTGCGATGATGGTCTCTAAAGACACCACCAGCACCTGCAGAGCCGGGGTTACCCAGAGAACAACCATTGAAATTGAGCTTAATGGTTCCTTCTGGAGGTGGTTGCCAATTGCATGTTCTTTGTGCCTTCTGTGGTTGGTGGTATAGGATGTTTTCCCATTGGTTTAGGAAAGTGTTTGCAGAAATACCCGAAAAGATCCTTTGATTCGATGCCCAAAAAGTTACTAAGGACGTAACCTTGTGAAAAAGTGTTGAGCCTTAGGTATAATGGCCTTGGAATATCCTGGCGTTTCTTTCTATCCAGATCACCCAAACGGTGGCTGCCACAGCAGCCTTCCATAAGGTTCGTCCAACCTTCGGCCAATGTGAAGCATGGTCCGAAGATATTAGCTCCTTGACCGTCGAAGGCATAATCCATTGGAAACCGAACAGTTGCAATATTTGGCCCCAAAGATCATGGGCTAGGTTACAATGAATGAAGAGGTCATGATTTGATTCTTCCTCACACGAACACATGGCACATCTGTTGGGGATTGGAATCCCTTTCTTTTGAAGCTAGTCAACTATGAGTACCCTTTGAGAACCCGCTATCCAGTTGAAAGTCCGCACTTTGGGAGGTGCTATAATAGACCAAACCTTGGATAATACCGATGGAGGATTAAGAGGGAAGGTGGGGGGTTGGGTGAGACTTTTGTAAAAAGAGGCCACCGAGAAAATTCCAGAGGGAGCAAGAGACCATACCAACGAGTCCCTCCCTTGTGTTGAGATGAAAGAACAATGCAAAACTGCTGAAAGATAGAGAAAGTGGTTGCTTTCCTCGTCAGAGAGGTTTCTTCTGAACGAGGGGTTCCACACTCTTCGGCCTCCCACCAGCACCATTTCCTCAACGATGGTTGAATCTTTGTTAGAGACCATGGAGTAAAGGGATGGAAAGAGGTCCCTTAGTGGAGTGTGTCCGAACCAAAGATCTTACCAGAAGCGCACACTTGTTCCTTCTCTTGGATGATACCTGATGAACTTTTTGAACAGTGAGAGGGAAGAGGTGACAGACTTCCACGATCCTAAAGCCTTGTTCATAGGTCTCCTCTCGGGCACCCAGGTTCCTTCAGAAATCTTGTATTTACAGCGTAAGACCTGGGCCCAGAGGGAATCGGTCTGAGTTTTCAGACGCCACCACCATTTTCCTAATATGACCAAGTTATGTTTTCTTAGGATCCTAATACCTAACCCTCCATGGTGTTTGGATAAGCATACCTTATCCCAAGAGATTAAGTGGTATTTTGTTCTCTCAGCTTGTCCCGACCAGAGAAAATTCCTTACTAGTTGTTCTAGCCAGTTTGCCACTGAGATTGGCATTTGGAAGAGGGGCATGAAGTATATCGTGGCATTGGCTGATCAAAGTGGTTTGGCCAGCCTGAGAAAGGCATC